AAGAACAATGGACACAAATTATTAGAGAGGAGGTTTAGATAAGACATCCGCAAGAACTACTTCACAGTTAGGGCGGCTAGGAGCCGGAACCAACTTCCTAGGGAAGTGGTGCTGGCCCCTACCCTGGGGATCTTTAAGAAGAGGCTTGATGACTACCTGGCTGGACTCATTTGAGTCCAGTCTTTTCTCCCGCCCAGGCAGGGGGTCGGACTTGAAGATCTACAAAGTCCCTTCTGACCCTACTTCTATGATTCTGTGATGTGTGTGCAGCATCACCGTCAGTCAATCAAAAGGCTCCTATGCATTCTTATCTGGAGTCACATCTGATGCAGTAGGTCATAGTTTGCAGGCAGTCTTCATCTGAGGGTACCTGCCCTCCAGGTACCAGTGACCACCTTCCTCATTCTCTCTGCCCTGACTTCCACCAGGCATAGGATGTAGCAAAAGAGAAATACAACAGAGAGTGACAAGCATGTCAGTAGCCATGACATCTCCCTGCTGCCACAGATCAGTCACACTCCACAGAGAGTGACATCGCTTTACTCCAACATAATTTCCTTCTCAGCTTACTGAACCTCATTCATTACTTGAGCAAGATGCAAAGAACAGAGGCAGCTCCCTGTGGGTTTCACTGTGGTGAACCCGCCCTTAGGCGCTAGTCTATTAAAAGTCCCATCGTGAAAGTAATTGCAGATGGATTTCATTTGCCAGGTCTTCATCTGCCTGCTGTTTCCAAGAGAGAAAACAGCCTATATACCTCCATAGTAGATGTGTACACTTTATACTCTCAACTAAGCAGGGTCCCATCTGTTTGGTACTTGGATGGGAGACCTGCCAAGATAACAGAGGAGATTCTGGAAGTGGAACTGGCAATTCAGTACAGAGCATTCCCAACATGGTGTGGGCTGGCACATGTTTCTCTCTGAGTCAGTATGGATCTTGCCACTGGGGGCATTATGTTCCTGAAGATGACTTCTTTCACATGGGAACTTAAAATCACATCCAGGACCCCTGGAGCCACTGAAAATCCCTTGGTAGCTTTCTGAAGAGAGATACGATCCCCAGTAACCTGGCAAAAAGGGTGGCTGATGAGAATAGGGCTCCTGAAAGTTATAAGGTAACAGTCAATGTTGCTGAGACACTAATATCTTAATTATTACAATACACTACAGCCACGTCTCAGATCAGTCACTCAATGACCCTTCTGTTCACACCAGATGTCAGTGTTACCTTTCCACATACACACCCCTACAATAGAGACAAGCCATAACACCAGAACAGAAACAGAAACTGTCACAACCAAGGCAGAAGGCTTCCAACTACCAGCTAGAGGATGTTTCCTGCCATGCCTTGAGCTTAAATGTGACATGCACTTCTTTAGGGTCTGGATGAGGCCCCTGGCCTAACTTGGGGTCTATGGGGAACATCTGACTTGTAAATGCTTCAAGAACTAAGCATAGGTCAATAGAAAGCAAAGACTCTAGAGAGGCCTCCTGGGTTATCAGTACGTGAGGGGCATCACAGAGACTATGACATGGAGACTGAGTCTGGATCTAGAGACACCGCACTCTGATTTCAGGGGTGTTTTTTCCAACAGCAGAGTCACTAACGTTTGCAAGCTAATGACAGGAGAAGGATCCCCAGAATGAGCAAAGTTAAATCAAGGACAGTAAAGATGCCAGTAATAAATCTAATGAAAAGTCCTTGAGGGGTTTCAGCCAGTGGGCCAAGTAATGGATGTGGGGCTTTTTCAAGCCAAGTTTGTCCACATTACTGTGACCTGATTAGATTCTTAAAGGAACCTGGAACACCAGAGCCCCAGAATGAAATTCCAGCGTGACTCTCCATCTTTGGCCATGCCGGAGACTGAAGCATGCAGGTGTGAGATTCCGCTGGAAAGTTCTCAGATGTGCAGACCAGGCACCATCCTTGGAATTCAAACCCCCTCTTCTTAGAAGTCTTGTATCCTAAGACTTTTAAATACCTGTTGTCTTCCTTCAAGGACAACTCCTTGGCTGAGAGCTGCGGGAAGGCATCTGAAATAGTCCCAGCCAAGTAAGTGCTCTTATTTATCAAAATTTTCATTCCTGTCTGCTGCCTGTCCTGATACAGTTTCTCCAATCCATCCACCCATGTTTCTGAGCGCATGAAGCCAAGAGACGGAAAGACAGCACAGGTCCAGGTGACCTACTGAGCTGGCTTTCCAAAAAGCCAAGCTGCTTCTTTTTTATACATTTATTTTCTTTTCCTCTTTCTGCTTCAGTTCCTCTTTCTCATCCCATGGCAAGTCAGTTTTATTATGATCTATAGCTTGTGCTATCTAGCACCTAGGAGCATCAAGTATGGACCATGACCATACTGTGTAAAGTGCTGAAAAAGCATAGAACAGAAAAGAGAGTGCCTGCCGCAGTCTAAGTACAGAGGTTTTCATACAACGCTCTTTGCTATGGTGTCTGATCTGCACCTGGGAGGATGATAAAGTGACTAATCTGCACGCTGTTTAGAGTATCCTGGGATCCTGGTATCAGAAACTGATGGGATGAGGAGGAGGAGGAGGAAGTGGAGCTGAGATAGAGTTGGAAAACCTCTTTGCATGTACAAGGAAGGTAACAGATGAATAACGCATATTAATTAGAAACCATCACTACTCCTACTCCTAGAAATCTCATTCAGAGAAACTCAGAAGTCCTGCTCAGTCCCTCTGAGGAGCTCCCCCTGCTCTGCAGTCTCTGGGGATGGAGAGGTTTGGCTCAATGCTCCAAATTCTATCAGGCTCTTCAAACTCTATCAGGCTCAGATGA